TAGATAGATGTATTGGTTGTTTATTTTGTAATCATCAATATAGTCAGATCAAGAAATTATCAATAAAAAGCAATTTAGACATAATACATTATATTTACTTAAAGAATCTTTTTAAAAATCTTTTCGCATGACTCTTCAAAATTTATAGAGCATTATGTTACCTAGATTTGTTTTTTTTAAAATGCATTATTCCACATAGTGCTGTTAAACATATACATATACATAGTTCTGGATTTTAAATTTTAAAATCAATACTGATACATTTAGAGTTTGTAACTCTCCGTAAGCACTCGAAATAAAGACAGGCGTCTGCTAAAATCAGTTTAATGGCACCACTTGTTCAATATTGTATACAAATCATTTCGTAAACATTTGTTCAGCTTTGTTAAAAAGGTAAGCGTTTCCTTTCATATATTTGGTGAGTCTACATTATTACGTTTTTATTTCAATGATAATTTATTATGTTTTATATCAATCTTGACTCTCTTACTTTATCATCTTGACATGATACAAATACAGTAGGGTGAACGTTTCAGTTTACACGCAAAACGCACGCTCTGGAAAAAACGCACGCACGTTACACGCTATACGAACGAACGTTATACGCACCCTAAACGAAACGAAATACGCAGACGCACGCAAAACGATATACGATAAACGAAATACGCTAAACGATATACGCACGCTAAAACGCACGCAAAATGAAAACGTTTCTAAACCTTTATTAAAATATCGTAATCATATATTAAGTTTTTAACAACTTTAGCTACATGTAGATCGTTAAGCGATTAATTTTGATTAAATAATAGCTAGAAATGTATTTTAAACGAGTTTATGTTCGAGCTGAAATGCACTCAACCTAGCACAAAAATTATTTTTTGTCACAGCCTCAACAAATTATTTTCAAAACATATAAGCTACCATGTGCAAATATCGAAAGTTAAATAATTAAACGGGTACGTTCCTCTTTATGCGCAATCGGATAAAGAACTATCCCTTGACTATCCCTTGCATTCACTACGTAACCTCTACGTAATAGTCCACAATATGGCCGACACGGAAAAATACATTGCAAATTATCTTAAATATACAGTTCTAACAATTGAATTCAGATGGATTTATGAGGCAAATCTATATATTAAGTGAGGCTGCATCATAAACAATCGAACTTTAAAATCTTGAGTGTAAAATAAAGGATTTAACTATTTTGACAGAAGTCACAAAACAGATTAAAAACACAGGATTCTACCACGGATAACATTAGGGAAACGGATAACATTAAGGGAAAAGCTTCCAGAATCAGGAAGGATTAAATTGCTGGCACAATACGTAGATTTAAGTTGATGTCCTGTATGTTTCATTAGGACACCGCATGATTTACTGTGTTGTCGCCAGTAAAAGCTTCTCAAAACGAAAGTGAAAGTAGAAATAAACAATACTGAAATCCAGTGAAATCACAAAAAAGGTAAACTTTCTAGGGCATTACAATCTATGAGTATATATAAATAATATGAAATAAGGCAAAGCCTATGAACGGGGAAGTCGTTAAAAATTCCTTTAATTCTTTCCGTTTTTAATTAAAGGTGTCATTCGGTATTATATGCACCGCTTCCGTTTTCACTCGGAACTCTCGACCATTATCATTTATCCGAAAAGTTGAGATTTGTTCCGTTATCGGAATATCCCGCCTATTATCATTGCATTACATTGTTAATGGCGGCGCCCGACTAGAACTGAAAATTTCATTGATAGATATAGAATTCTATATATTTTTTAATTGTTTTTTATTTCATTTTCTTTTAAATTTACACGTGTAGTCTATAGCCAGGCAAGTTAAAGCCCGGACCCGCTTCGCGGGCCCGGTCTTTGACTTCCCCGTATTAAGAATGCACTTTTATTTTGGGTCTGAAACTGTAATGGAGAGGAAAAAATAGGAAAATAAGGAAACCGGTCAACCTCATGCACCTGACCATTAGTGCAAGATGGGGAGGAGTCAAGTGTGGGAATTTGTGAATCATGTGTAAAATGTAAAGTTATTGCATTTACAAAGACAGCACAACAGAAATTATTTTTCATGTCATGTAAAATTGAAATTTATTGACATGCGCTAAATATGTATTATCACACACCCGTGCCGATTTTGCGACTCCGTAAATATGGTATTGCACGGCCGTGCATATATTTTGATGTGACGTCATTAGCATTATACAAACAAAGTGTACAGACGCTCTAAATGTTAGCGTTATACTATCGGCGCGTCAATTAAAAATGACTCTTATTTCACTTTAAACATTCTTTATTTTTGGTATGTGATAAAAAGAATAATAAATTATTGCTGGGTCACACAAGTCTATGCAAATCCCCCCCTATTTTAAAGCTGTCAAATTAAGTACTGCTACAATGTCTTATGAAATATAAAATCACATAACTAGACAATAATCAAATATTTCACAATATTGACGTAAGACATAATCATTAATAAATGCAAACAAGCAAATAATTAGCTGGAAATATTTATTAATCACAGAGTAAGAAAAATATGCAGCCTGACTGAGACTCAAAACAAGACCCTCAGAATATCATGCCTCACCAGCACTACCATATGAACCCAGAACCCTTTGAGTACCATACTGCAGCTCTACCGCATAAACATTTTTCTCTTAACATGCGATCCGCGCTATACATGAGCATAGTCCCCCATTGAAATATCTCCTTAAATAATTGATGAACTGACATAGTGAGATGTCTGTTTATACAGTCTTGGCCCTATGCTGATTCCCGAAAGTAACTGTGCAGCCTGACTGGGGCTCAAACCTGGGAGGCTTGCATGGACACTTTGAATACCATTCCGAAGCTCTACCAACTGAGCTATAAGGTTTCTTCAATATCCCCTTCTCTAATCATTGAACAGTTAATACTGTGACATCCCTGCCATATTAAACTCCACAATGTTTTCACGAGTATACAGAATACGTCTCAGCTATATACCATCACGGCTCTACATTTTGCCCCGATATCAAACCCCGGACAATCAGAATACCATATGGGGACTGTACTGACTAAGCTATCTCAGGCCATCTCACATTCCTACCCCCTCCACAATTAGAACAAAAAGAATTAGTAGCTCAAATATATACCTTTAAAACCCAAAATGGTTAGTGCAGAACTCCTGGATTAAAGATGAGAGTGCATCATAATTTTGTTAACCTATCTAGCTCCAGTGAAACAAGGGCACTCCCAAAAAAAACAAAATATCCTTAGAAAAATGTCAATCTCCCTATATTAAGATATTCAAATTAATACAGTAAATACTAGACAGCTCATTGCGCTCAAGCATGTTACATGCATGTATTTAACAATTAATTCCATTTTGTCTCTAGTTTAAGGGGAATCAACTCATGTTTACCAAATTGTTTGTCCTTATCTGTCTATCTCAGACAGACTATTCTAGCTGTTTATAAACAATTTGGTTATTGGCAGTGTGCTTATCAGGCTATACAGAAACTTTCTTATTGTATCATAGTTTGGAGACCTTTCTGTTGAAAATGTGTCAGGGTTAAATCGTATACATATACATGCACAGTGCGTTAACTGGAGTGCGGGTATTAGTTACCCGCACTCCAGAGCATGCCCATTGATTGGCTCATTTTTGCTGGGGTTTACATATTGTGACGGCAGAGAAAGGGAAAGCGTCAGAAATATCATATTCAGATGTTCGGTCATTGGTTCATTTTTGCTGGGGTTTCATATTGTGACAACAGGGAACGTGTTTTTATGTTTGACTATGATACAAAAAAGAAAGAACACCAAAACACTCGGTAATCTGATTAATACTCGGGGGCTACGCCCCCTCGTACAAATCAAATAACCTCGTGTTTCGGTGCTCTTTCTATTACTTATTTTTTATTTATAAATAGAATGGAATAATGGATATTTTGTGTGACTGGCTATGTAATATACTTTAGAGTTGATTTCAATTAGTCCATACCTAATGGTATCCTGCAACAGGATTTATCCAATATTTTTTTTTTTTTTTTTGATATTCAGATTGTTTTTCCAACTTTCTTCCCCTTTCCTTTCTATTGCAGCCCTCTGTCTTTTTACCAAATGGCTGATGTAAATGTTGTCAAGCAGTTTTATTGTGTCGCCATGAAAAAGGCGACATATAGGGGTTAATTTTGTCGGCGTCCGTGTCAGTGTCGGCTCTTAAGCTTGTCCGGAGCACAAGTCAGTCATTATAAGTTGGATTGACTTCAAACTTGGTATGCATGCTTCTTAAAATGACTCGAAGTGCAGTGCACAAGAACCGGTACTCTGCACTTCTTAATTTCTGAGTTTTTGCCCTTTGTTAGATTTCATACTTTATTTTTGTCCGGGCCAGATAATTCTCCTAAAGTATAAAAGCTTTGGACTTGAAACTTCATAGGATGATATATCTCATTAAGAAGAAGTGCAATGCACAAGAACCAGTACTGAATAACTCTGCATTTCTTATTTTTTAGTTACTGCCCTTTGTTAATTTTCATACTTTATTTTTGTCCACGCCGTTTCTCCTAAAATATAAAAAACTATGGACCTGAAAGTTTATAGGATGATAGATCTCATTAAAGAAAGTGCAGTGTACAAGCAACTGTACTCTGCACTTCTTTCTTTTGAGTTATTACCGTTTATTAATTTTCATACTTGATTTTTTTCCAGGCCATTCCTTGTAAATTATAAAAGCTATGGACTTAAACTTCATAGTATGATAGATCTTATTGATCACAGGTGCAGTGCACAGAAACTGCTGTTCTGCACTCCTTTTTTTGAGTTATTGCCCTTTGTTAATTTTCATATTTCATTTTTGTCCTAGCCATTTCTCCTAAACTATATTGTTCACAAGGCGACACATCCGACGCGCAGAGTTCTAGTTTTAATAAACAGGGAGGTTTAGGCGCATGACCTGGGCATCCCGGGACAATCCCGGCATCACCCGTAGCTCAACCCTGGTGAAATCAGTGATGGTTGGGATGGATGGTGATGAAACCGTGTATAGGCGGTCTCCAAGGGATCAACCAGGATTACACCGGGTTAGCATCGGCACTGACCCGTATATAGCCGGTGTTATATTGGGTACTAAAAAACAGGAATGCACCTGGCCTGGGCTTTGTCGGAGATGTGTAAACGCAATTTGATTTTTCAGAAAAACACCACGGAACACTCTGGTTCAATGGTTTAAGACACCGTAGCAATACAGTGGCCATTACCGGGACAGTGTTAATGGAACTTGGCTTAATTGGACAGCCCAATTATAAGTTTAAACCAAGTCTGAGCTGGCTTATATCTTTTTTCTATTATAGAGTAATGGGAATAATTGTTAACGTTAGCTAAACCTGTTATTTTGTGATTACATGTCTAACTTTGGGACAGATTTACTTAATGAATTTATTTATGTCTTATTTATATTATGGAGGGACACTGGTTTCAATATTCAGTTCTAGAACAGAATCATCCCACTACAGACTTTTAATAGAGTAGGTGTTTTCTTGCACTCTTGAATAAGACTAAATTTTACTGTGGCTGAGTTGGTAATGGGACATTTCAGACAATATATCTATAGACATTTCTTACCAGACACATCAAACAAGATTTTGGGACACTTCAGGACAGTTTTTGGGACATTTCGAACCGGACACTTGGCCCATACATTGGATATATTGGACCAATCATATTGACACTTTAAACCTTTCTATGGGATGTATTGGACCAGTTTAAAATATCAATTTTTGTTATATTCATGTATATCATTATTTTTTACGAAGACATGGAAAAACAACAAAGTGCCATGGGCGCCGGGCAAAAATACAACCAAACTACTTAGTCGTATTTTTGAGTTTTCGTCGGGTGCCTTCCAAAGCAACATGGCACAAATCAGCCACCGTAGATTTTTTTATGCCCTACTTTATTTGTACAAAAATATAGAAATGGTACAATGTATTAGTTAAGTTTTAACTATACATGTGTAAATAATGGAACTATCAATAAACGTCTAATCCCATTTCAGTAAAAAATATAAATTATAATACTCCTAAAATAATTGTAAATGTAAATTTTGTCAAAAGAATGTGTGTATATTGGGTTTTTTTCAATGCTGTTAATTGAGAACTATCTGGCCTGTTTTTTTAAGCTATATAACTGTATCTGTCTTAGGTAAGAGGTGTTCACTTTTAAGCACATAAAAGGTGTAAGCGGCCGGACAGCTCAGTCGGTAGAGAGGCGGTACGGTAATCTGAGGGTCACGAGTTCGGGTCTCTTTGACTGCCATATGGCCCAGAGTTTAATTCACATTGCTCTGTAACCCTGGGAAATTCGAGAAAATATTTGCATATATAGCAGGGAAGTATTTTACGGTTAAGAACTGTTCAGTACGTATTTAGGGGAATAAAGTGTAAGCGACCGAACACCTCGATCAGCGGGAAGAGCCGCGGAAGGGTAAATGTACATGTTTTCCGAGTGTCAGGGCTTCGAGTCCCTGCCAGGCTGTTACATAGCAATAAAAATCTGTTCATAACAAAAAGAAATATGAAAAATGGTAAATTTAATATCGCCCTAAATAGGATTCGGACAGTCTGTGTAAAAATGTCAGAAGATGAACTGGTAAAGGGGAAGGGAGCGGACTAGTCTGATTACCATCATATAATGTCTGATGAACCTGATATCGGATATATTGGTACGCATATAGACACATGCTTGCTGAATTGCATATCAAACATGTTGCAATTAAATAGTGATTAAATCCGAAGCGTGTTTAAGAAAAGGATTTAAACTAAACTTCGGCGTAAAGCACGTCGAAATCCGGAATTAACCATGAGGTCACAAACTTTTAAAAATGAAAATATCACAATTAATAATATTTCTCTATATAATATTTTTATTCTTCGGAAGAGACACTGAACATCTTAAAGAAACCCGAAATTTACAAATCAGATCTGTTTAAGATATTTTTTTAAGTTCTCAAAAGTAACAGACACAATACACGGTACTTAAACGTTTAGACGAACGCAGACGCACGCTAAACGTTTCTGGGGATATCAAACGCACGCTTTCAAACGCACGATAAACGAAAAACGATACACGAAAAACGATAAACGTTAAACGCTTGTAAACGATGCACGCTTCAGAAAGCGTTTCAACAAAAGTACGTTGCACGATATACGCACGCACGTTACACTAAAAACGGACGCACGAAAAACGCTATTTTTGACAACCGAAACGTTCACCCTACTGTAAGTAACATGGCAAAGTCACATAGCCAGGTTTTCAATCATCATCATTGTAGAAAATTCCAGTCGGAATACAAGTGCAATCAACGTACAATTAACAATGTCAATGATAAAAAATGATGAAACAAACTAAATAAACAAGCTTTTTCAATAGCAGCATATTCAACAAGAGCTGTCACAGGAGTCAGTGAAGCTCGACTAATAAAATACTGGATGCAGTAAGGAAGACAAAACTTTGAAAGAAAAATCAATTATGCATAATTATGTTTTAAGCTATAGTAAAAATAACATTGTTAACATACATTCCAAGATCAAGGAGAATAATTCTAGAAATAGTAACGCTAGAGTTATGAACCTTGTCACACAACATGTGTGTAATGATAAGACATATATATTTGAAGTTTGAAGTAGATACCTTAAACAGTAAAGAAGTTATAATATCCTAAGTTTACAGAGAGATAAATCTGTAAATACTGATTCAAGAGTTATGAACATTGTCACATAAAATGTAATTTATGATAAGGAAAAAGTATTTGAAGTTTGAGGTAGATACCTTTAAAACTAAAAAGGTTTTAGTAAAAAATAACATTTTTCATGTAAAAAAATCTATGTTTATGGGGAGATAATTCTTGCAATATTGGTGCTAGAGTTACAAACCTTGTCACATTTGATTTGGATGATGATAAGGTACATAAATTTCAAGTATGAAATTGATCCCTAAAGAAATAAAGAAATAACAGTAAATAAATAAAAAATAAAGAAAATTCTAACTTCAAGGGAAGATAATTCTGACAATATTAGTGCTAGAGTTATGAACCCTATCACATAAGATGTGGATGATGATAAGATACATATATTTGAAGTATGAAGTTGATCCCTTAAGAAATAAAAAAAAGAAATAGTAAAAAAAATATTTTTTTTTCAGGAAAATTCTAATTTCAAGGGGAAATAAACCTGAAAATATTGGTGCAAGAGTTATGAACCTTGTCACATAAGATGTGGATGATGATAAGGTACATATATATAAAGTATGAAGTTGACCCCTGAAGAAAAAAAGAAGTAACTGTAAAACATAGTATTTTTAAGGAAAATTCTAAGTTCAAGGGGGGATAAATCTGAAAATAATGGTGCTAGAGTTATAGATATTGTCACATAAGATGTGGTTTATAGTAAGAAATATATATTTGAAGTTTGAAGTTGATACCTTAAGATAAGAAAGTAAGATGAAATGTATCTTTACCATAAAGTTTATCAAATATATAAAATTAAGGAGAAGAATTTCTTAAGACAAGTTGTCTTACATTCTAATCCTGTTTTTTAAGAATATTTGAATTGCTCTGTGTGTGTTATAAATTGTAACATGTATATATATATATTCTGAGAAATAAAATATCTTTAAACTAAATAACTAAAATGACAGGCGTATTACTATGCTCACAACTTCGTAGACCTTTTATTATTAACAAATCATGAAAAAAACATATAAAACATACCACAGTGTTCTTCTAATTTTGTAATAAATTATATGGTTTTCGATTTCTATGAAAGTTATTCTTTATCCACTTACAACATTTAAAATTAAAACAGACACATTTTCTATTAAACGCCTTTTTAATTATGTCATCAATATATCGTTCTTTTACTATGCTTTAAACAACTAATATTTTTATAAATTTTAATTAATGTTTTTTTTTTTTCAATGCTTAATTTGTGTTTGATCTCTTATTGTTATTATTTTCTGTCTGCTGTTATAGGTTTTTCGCACGTTGTTCTCCTAACGAAAATCGGAATTCCTCAATAAACAAATTTGCCAGACACGGTTAGGTTGAAAAGTTTGCAAACTCGGTTGAATTGAGGCTTTTTTATATGTCTCTCATAGAACAGCTATTAAAGTAGGCTAATTTATTTAAACAACTTGTAAGCATTATTTGTTTATAATTAATATACTATTACACATTAATACATTTATTATTAAAATGTGCTTTAAGACATATGATGATATAGATTTTCAGTATGTTATAAATTGAATAACAAAATCAACACAATGACACAAATCATTTCTTTGCAGTCGTTCAGTTATTCATTCATTACGAATTACCATTTAAGCAAAATATCAAGATAGATAAGAATATAAATAAAGTCAGGGCAAGTTTTCTGGTTTAAGAATACACAATATTGATTAAGTTTCAGTTTATTGAATGAAGTTTGTGTTATAAACTTTCAAAGTAAAACAATTCAAGAATCGTATGGGTTTTTTTTTTATTTTTTTATTTTTTTTTTCTCCAGCATTCAAATTGATTTTTTATATTATGTAATCTAAAAGGCATAAATCAGATTTTAAAAATGACAGAAATAGAAGGACAAAACAGAAAATTAGTTTTGCTATATTTGATTGAACCTGTACGTGAATGGTACTGGAGATTGCAAGCTACAATCCAACCCTCTAACTAGTACCGATCTACGCGAAATTCATTATTCAACATAAAATGGTAATACATTTAATTTGGAAGCATCCGCAGATGCATTTCTACGGCGGTTATTATGAAAACTTCATTGTGACACTTAAGCACCATTCCATCAAAAGCAACGAATGCTCCTCAAGTGAACATATTTTAGTGTTCTAAACGAAAACTACGGGCAAAACTAAATAAAATGGAATTTTCAGAAGGGAACAGATATTATGAAGCCTGCATATTCGCAGACAAACTATCAACAATTTGAAGTGTCTAATTTGAAAAGGCCTTTTATAAAAATAAGTATTGTTTGAACAGTGCGACTTTTTAAGCCTCAGACAACAATGATGTGGCGATGATATAGAGACGAATAAAATCCCTTCACATTCAGAACGGC